CTCTGCAGGACATAGAGGCGCCAGTGCGATCACTTGCTTTTTTTTCTAACAGTGGAAACAACTTAAAATACGCAATCATTTTTGCTCATAAAGGTAAGAGTAATACATCATTCTAAACTGTAAAGGGTCTAGTTTTATTTGTGTGCACTCACAATATCAACAAAACGTTGTGCTTTTGTAAAATAAAGAAATTACTTGTTAACAACGGACCATTATTCTAAAGTGTTACCCATAAATTAAAGAGAACCTGAAAGGAGTGGCAGAGGAGGAAGAAAAGGAAGCAGGCATGTTGATAATCTGTCAAGTGGATTGTGATGGGAACGAAGGATGGAGGAAATAGCTATTCATGTGCTGAGACGATTGGTGGCGGTCATCTGATTTTCCCCCATAAACCATGCATCTCAGGCTCTATCTCGGTTCGATTCAGACATAAGTTACTGGCTCAGACAACATGCTGGTCTAAGCTCTTCTGCTGGATTTCAGTAGTTCACCAGTCAGAGCCTGATGTCTGCAGGTCTAAAGGGGAGGATGCCAGGCCATTCCTTCATCTAGGGCGCATCTGGTGCCTCTCAGATCTGAGCGCTACTATCCTGTCAAATAAGCTAGCAAAGGTTGGGAGCTTCTTAAACAGGCCTCGCAAAAACAACCGCATTGGTGTAGGTTTCTAAGCTGTGGAGGCATCATTTGAGAAGGTTTTCCATTTCAGAAACCGTCTGATTTGCACCAGAAGAAAGACATTAATCCAAGAAGGAAGCAAGGCTTCCCTGGAGCCAGAGGTTATATAATTGAACTTACTGAGGCGTCACCTGTGTGTCTCTGTGCTGTCAAACATTCATTTATCCGTCGGTTTGAATCCAGCGCCTCTGTTTACAATGTTGTGTGGGTTTAAAGCCTGAGGACGATGTGAAGAGTCGGCTTCAATTATGGAGAGCCGGTCAATCCGTAGGGATATGATTAAAGCAGGTCCACTGTCCCTCTCCGGCAGCATTCCATCTGACAAAATAATATAAATGGAAGACTGTTGAACAAAAAGCGATAAGACATGGATGGACACGAAAAACAACAACAACTGCTGTCAAATTGATATGTTACTTGAGTTGTAAATTTATTTATTTATTTATTGCCAAACACCCTAGATGTTTGGAATTTAGCTTTTTTTTAAATTTATTTTTATCAATTTAATTTTAATCCAGGCCTGGATGGAATCTGTTGATTATTTTGTTGTTGACATTTTCTGCACTCATTTGCAGCAAAAATGTCAGCATTCCAAGAAACAGATTTAGAGGTGTAAGGCTATAGTAGGCGAAAAACAGCATGTGAAATTGAAGTCTCTGGCTTGAGTTGTAAATTTATTTATTTATTTATTGCCAAACACCCTAGATGTTTGGAATTTAGCTTTTTTTTTTTAAATTTTATTTATTTTTATCAATTTAATTTTAATCCAGGCCTGGATGGAATCTGTTGATTTTTTTGTTGTTGACATTTTCTGCACTCATTTGCAGCAAAAATGTCAGCATTCCAAGAAACAGATTTAGAGGTGTAAGGCTATAGTAGGCGAAAAACAGCATGTGAAATTGAAGTCTCTGAATTCACATTATTCATAAAACAGTGGCTAAAATCTGATGACCTACTACTTCTGTTGAGATTTTGAATTGTGCATCCAATGGCCACTTTATTATTTCATGAGGCCACGAAAGAGTATTCGTGAATGACAGCATAGCGACGCAACGCACACTGGTAGATCACATGACAATAACATGACTAATGTAATAAATCCAGATTACATTCAGACTATATAGATATATACATATTATATATCCTCATTTGTAAGTCGCTTTGGATAAAAGCATCTGCTAAATGATTAAATGTAAATGTCAATGTAAATATTTTAACAGTCACGAAGCAAATACTTATTCAAAAGCCCACATGTTGCACTGGCCAATATGGAAGTTGTCTTGGACTGATACTGACACCTAGTTTTGTGGATGTAGCATTACTGGAAAGCATTAAGCATTAAGTTTTCAGCTAATGATTCGATCAAATGACAATCGGTTTTTGACTGGGTGTAAATAGTGGTTCAGTAGACAGCCTACTACTAAACACTCTATCCTGAGAAATCCTAAAAGAACATACTGATAAACATGATGAAAAGATGGGGAGAAAACAGCATGACAAGAGACAGAGATAGAAAGGAGAATTGGGGAAATAAAATGTCATATATCATCTTACAGAAACTTCAAAAGTAACAGGTGTGTCAAAAATGATAGGGACACAGGAAACAAAAGAAATGAAAGACACCGATGCAAAACGGAATGTGAATTTGCAACAAGGAACAAACAGCATTGTCATTGAAACTAGAAAGGTGCAGTTGCGTGAGAGGAAAAGAGAGAGATTAGAAGAATTCAGCATGTCACAAGCCACATGAGATTGTCAATGACACTGATTTATAGGGAGCCGAGCAATGAAGAGATTCATCTATAAAACTACAGGTGCCATCAGATGCATGAGATACAGCTGTGCACATGTACATAAGAGAGAGAGAGGGAGAGAGAGAGACATTGGGAGGTTGGGGGAATGGGGAGGCAGAGAGGGGTTATTCTCTGAGCTAGTCAAGTGACGAGTGTGAGGGAAGCCATGCTTGGACGGAAGAGACACACTGTGTGCTGAGACAATTAGATATACAAGAAACAATAAGATATTTAAAGAAGTCATAGGAGACCCATGAAAAAAGGAGACAAAGAAAAGGATTGAGAACAACCTGGATACGTTTTGCTGGAACACTAAGAGAGAAAAAGAGACCAAGAAGAAGAGTGAAGGGTAAAGCCATCTGCATCTCAGATCTCCACAGGTAACTGCTGTCATTGTGATGTTCATGCGGCATGACAGAGACAGGGACAGCTGATGGATGGAGGGAGGAGGTGGAGGAGGAGAGGAATAATTGAAGAATGGGAAAATGGAAATGAGAAAGAATATGTAGTTGAAAATGATGAGATGGGTGACGTGCCTACAAGAAGATGGAACACTGTTTACATTCTGGAGAATATATGTGATAGATTTTGTAATGTTAATTCTGGCAGTAAATATGTGATTTTAAATTACTGCAATAGTGAGGGCTTGTGAAAAAGCTGGAAATAAATATGTATATATACATATATTTTAAAATATTTAAATATATACATGTTAAATTGCTGACAAATGATAATCTCAAGACTTGTACTCTGTCACACTTCAGGGGGCAAAGTGTCTGATTTATGTGACTAATTTAGAAATAGAAGTGCACTGACATTTTGAAAGATTGCTCTAATCTAAAAGAATCCACTGAGAAAAAGAGAGGAGGAGAGAGAGACTTAGAATAAAAGAAAAAGAAAGCGAGAGAGAAAGAGAAATGGTTGGTGGGGGCTGATCTGTGGTAAAATGGTCCAGCGCCTTTCATTACGGACTGCTTCTTGTTCAGGTCCCATGACAATAACTGCAGTGGCAATTGCTGGTATGTCTTGAGGCAAGGCAATCAGCATCATAAGATTAAAGTAAAGAGAAAGAGTGACTGGGAAGTTGTGCATTTAATAAAATGGTACATTAATGAAAAGCTGTTGGTGGTGCAGTTGCGTGCGTGTGGGCAGAGAGGACTGCTGCCATCTTGTGGTAAAGTTCTGGGACATTAAAGTTTGCATGGTTTATGGGTATTTAGGAGGGTCAACAGGACCAGTCCCCCAGGACCTTAAGCTGAGAGACACCTGAAAAAAAATGCAAATGGAAAATTAATATTCATGGAGAAACAGTGCTTAAATGTACTCAATTAACAAATTATAACTGCATTCAAAAGTGTATTAATAGAATTACCAATTGTATTAATACTGCAAAAAGATATTGCAGACAGGGTTCCCACGATCACTGAAAATCTGAAAATGTCATGGGATTTTAAAATTGTGTTTACCAGAACAGGAAAAATAGAAATTTCTATTCACAATCAAATCAGTCACTTAAAGGGATAGTTCACCCAAAAAATGAATATTCTGTCATTATTTACTCACCCTCAAATTGTTCTAAACCAGTTTGACTTTCTGTCTTCTGTTGAATATAAAAGAAGATATTTTGGGGGCAAACAGTTTATGGGGGGCTCGAGCCCCTGCCCCTTTAATCATGGACGCTAAAGTTTTTGGGTCAACTCTCCCTTTAAATAAACTAGACGAGAAGCTAAAACTGCAGTTCTTTCCCAGGGATAATTTTTATATAAAATCTCAATAAAGAAATAAAGCCAGAAGTCTAAGACATTTCAAGAGCCAAACATGCAATACAAAGGCGCAATCAAAAGATCTTATTCTCTAATTTGTATTTGTGTTTTTTTTTTCTGGACTCCTTTTTAATGGTTAAATTACATTTTATTAATCAAAAAGCATGTCTAATTAATTAAAATCATGAAACTTAAACAATTTAACATCAATTTATTAAAAGTTTAACAAAAATTACGTTTAAGGCCCAATGAAATGTTTTATTTTTTCCAACCTTATGTTTTTTTGTTACCAAATTCTGATTTAGCATGTCTAATAATTTGAAAGCATAAAAACAAATTTATTCTTACAATAGCCTTATGATTTTTTGCTCAGAAATTTTGTGTTGTGTATTTACATTTTTAAGGCATAACATATTCATTTAATCTATCTTTTGAGCAATGAAAATTAAACACATTTAATTTTTTGGAAAATAAAAGTAATTTAATATTACAATTAAAACATTGAAGAAATATTGTATGATTATTCCTTAAAAATAAGATTTTAATAATTTTAGTAGTAGTAGTAGCAGCTTATTACGTACATTCTACTGAACAATAGTCATATATTTCTGCCGCAATGCCTTCAAGTTAAACCGAACTTTTATTTTGACGGGTTGCCGTGAATACCTTTACATTTCTGAGTGTATATGATATGAGGATAGTTTTACTATCCTAAACGGTCAAATGCTCATGAAGTGACTCTCGGAGCAGTTCTGGAGATGTTCATGTATTTATGTCCTCATTTAGTGAGACGGCAGACGCTGAAATCGCCACAAGCGTCAGGCGCGCTTCAGTACAAGTGGTAAACAAAACCGCACGTCTGCGCCATTCATTAACACAGAGACACGAATAATTCATATTTAAATAGTCGTTTTGTGATTTGGGGTATCGCCCCCCTAATATAATGGCAGGGGAAACAGTGTGTGGGATGACAAGGTTAGGACCATCAGCAGCTGGTGCCCAGGGTGTCGAAGGGCCGTAATCCGTACATGATGGGGACAATTTTAACATATTTTTTTCTTAAATTCTCTTCACAGCCACTGCTCATCTGTTTCACATTATCACAGAATGCTGCTCTATCTTCTGTTCTGGATGAGTCTATTTCTGTTGATTACAAACGGGTGAGTAAAGAGATAAACATCTGACGCACTGAGACTAAGAATCACCTGACATCCACACTATTAACATTTCTCCCTGTCCTCCAGTGAAAGAGGATTTTATGGGAATCATTATGGCGAGTGGAATGATTCGCAACTGCAGCCCACCATACAGAAGCTGATGAAAGGCTACAATCGATACCTAAGGCCAAACTTTAACCGTGAGGGCTACCTGAAGCTACTTAAATATAGATAGAGAATTAAAAAAAACATATAGTTTTTTAAATAATTAAAACCCAATAATAAAAACACATTCTGTTTCCACAGAGGGGCCTGTTGAAATTGGAATGAGTCTGGATATTGCCAGTATTGATGCCATCTCTGAGATTAACATGGTACTATTTACATTTATAAACTTACTTTGATAAGAGGCTTCAGGCAACAGATTAACGGGATTCTGATCAATTCTGTTCATATACCTTTAGGACTACACAGCCACTATCTTCCTAAGACAACGATGGCGAGATTCCCGCCTCATATTCCCTGGAAATGAAAGTCTGAGTCTGGACGGACGGCTGGTTTCATTGCTGTGGATCCCTGATACGTTCATCCCCGATTCTAAGCGTTCTTTCCTTCATGATGTAACTGTGGAGAACCGTCTGATCCGCATCTTCAGCAATGGCACTGTGCTCTACGCTCTTCGGTAAACACTGAATTTACAACTTCTTACCAAAGACTGAACAGCTGCTCCAGGCAGATGTATGTGCATCTGGGGAACCTTCCCACTGAAATGGTTCAATCAATATTCCTCCTTTTCTCCACAGCATAACAGCAACCATCGCCTGCAACATGGACCTCACCAAGTATCCTATGGATAGACAAGAGTGTACTTTGCAATTAGAAAGCTGTAAGCATTTTCACTCTCAAACTGGTTTTTCCTTATTTTATGTTACTGGTTATTCAAGAGCAGCCTGTTCAAACCCTTAAATCTGTATGTGTGTGCATACATACATACATGTTCAGGGGGCTATAATTTACAGGATGTAGTGTTTTACTGGACCCGAGGGAATTACTCAGTGAAGGGGTTAGATACACTGCGTCTGGCCCAGTACAGTGTGGAGAGCTACTACACAACCGTATCTGAAGCTGTGTATGAAACAGGTAAAAACATCTCATTTTATTGTGAGTATCTTGGCCACTTTTAGTTTATTTTACTAAAAAGTACCAGTCAGTCTTTCAGTCACATTCTACATTTATATTTACGCATTTGGCAGACGCCGTCCTTCTACGCTGCTTACAGCGCAATCATGGTTTACAAAATCCCAAAAAAGAATTTGGACACTTAAGTCAGACTTAAAAGATGTATGAATGTCACTCCATTTGATAACAAAAGATCATCCAAGTGGCATTTCAAAGAAAATAGCACAAGCGCTACAAGCATAACTATTCCACAAAAAGAGGTTTTAGGTTTAGAATGATAATCCAAACAATTGCATAGCATATTTGTCTGCAGATGCCACTTGGTTTGATCATCTGTTTATTTATTTTTTTAATGGACTAAAATTCATACTACTTTTTGGTCCCACTGTACATTTAATTATTACATGTATTTCCTAGTAATCAAACTTTGGTGTTGCTAGTGCTGCTAGAAACTGCTGTTTAAAAAATAAAAATCAGTTAAATTTACAGTTAAAATAATACACTGACAATCTATCAGCTATTACAGGATGGCATGTTGGTGCCTGCATATTTTATCTTATAATCACACATTTTTAAGTGATATAATGTTAATGTTACTAATCTACTACAACTACCAATATTAGCATTTTACATTATAATGTACCGAAAACCACATGATAATACAGGTATTAAAACAGAAAGCAACCGCAGGGACTTCTGGGAATGTATTTTTATGGTTTCTTAGACACACACACACACACACATATATATATATATATGGTTTTTACTTGAAAAAAAAAAGTATTTTATATATAATGCAATATTAAACCATTTTCATTGTATATGATAAAATATCTTACAGTTAATCAATTAACTATTTTTAATGTAACATTTTTAGTACTTTTTGTGAAAATTGCACTTTTTTTTTTCTTCTTTTTTTTTACAGTGAATAACCTGCAATATTCTGGATCTGTTGCAGGTTTTTACCCGAAGCTAGTGCTGCACTTCTCTTTACGTAGAAATGTGCTGTTCTTCATTCTGGAGACATATGTGCCCTCAACACTGCTGGTGGTTCTGTCATGGGTGTCTTTTTGGATCAGTCAGTCCTCCGTTCCAGCTCGTACCTGCATCGGTCAGTGATTCCAAGAGCTTATTACTCTAAAAAACATATGCTACAAAAGATTTCTGGATTACAGAAAAACTAAATATTCTCTATCAAATCCATTTATTTGACAGGGGTGACCACCGTTCTTACCATGACCACACTAATGATGGGTGCCAGGACCTCGCTTCCCAATGCCAACTGCTTCATTAAGGCTATCGACGTCTATCTCGGCATCTGTTTCACCTTCATCTTTGGTGCTCTGCTGGAATATGCCTGTGCTCATTTCTGCACCATGCAGCACCAAACCATTGAAGATGTGCAAAGGGTGAGAAACCTCTGGATAGTGGCTAAAATGACACATTTTTTACAACCTGTTGTATTTTTTAATTTTTACATGAAATTTTCACAGGAACTGCTCAAAGAATTTGAGGAGTCAAATGGTATGACTCACTTGGCAAATTCAACGTCACCCAAAAAGATGCAGACCGAAGAATCCACTCACCAGGAGACGCCAGAACAATCTGTGTCATGCGAAGGGAATGAGGCCACAGACAAGAAGAAAGAGAAGGGGTGCGGTTTGTCCTCCGTAAAGCAAATGTCTCGCCGAGCAGCATCCATGATGAGTGTCGAGAATCCTAACAACATCGACAGACATGCACGTGTATTTTTCCCCATGGTATTTCTCCTTGTCAATATTTTCTACTGGCTCTACTACCTTTTATTCTAATGGATGAACCACTCTTAATGAACAAAGTATTGCACAAATGACTGTAAAAGTGAAAAGACTGTTGACTCCCTATCAATTACAGTTAAATAGTGGCCTATAACAAGGACCTGGACTTGGTTCATTGTTGCACTGAAGAAAGTAGGCCTATTTTTACACAACAATGAAAGTGAAGATCACATGGACACACAAAAATTACCATACAGACTCATTTGTAGCAGGACACAAAAAAGGACGCTGTTCTAGGCGTCCACTCTTTGATTTAGCCTATTTAAGGGTTCAAAGCTTTACTTGTTTTTTCTTCTTGCTTTGTTTTGCTAGGTAAACGTAATGCGCTATAAGGCTGATGTAAACTCCATAAGCACTGACCATAATAAATGGCACTAAGTAAAACCAATAATGGTCAGTGTATGCATGTCATTATGTACAGTGCGGTCCGCAAGTCTGATTCAGGTGTAATTCAAACCTGTAAATAAAAAAAACTTTGAGAAATGTTTAAGATTATGCAATATTTCTAGGTGCCTAATAAATTAATCCAATAAGATATTTTGGTAGGCTAGTAGTCATGTTTGCATTATCAATCCAATTATGTTGATATAGAATGCAATGTAACAACTGACTACTTAATCACCCACTCATTTATTCATCCATCTACCTTCTAATCCATCCAACCATAGATCCATCCACCCATTTTAAGTGATTTATTTGGAGAATTTACCGTCTTCTTCGGTTTTACTGTCAGACTGAACGCCATTCCCGCATCACCGTCAACATTTCACTGTTCATCCGAGATCATATTGCTTTACTTAGTGATGGGCGCGTTCGAAACACTGCTTCACGACGCTTCGAAACATTTGCGAATCTTTTGTTTCGAATCAGTGTTTCGGAGCGCGTATCAAACCGACCAGGTCACGTGATTTTAGCAAACAAAGCTTCGTTACGTCACACTGTTTCGAACTTTCGAAACGTTTCGAAACTCCGATGGTTCACCACTAGGGGGTGTTGATCTCAAAGTGAACCCATGAACCACTTCTGGTTGCCCAGTTAATCATGTGACATGAAATCCCACGAACTTTTACTATAAAAAATAAAGAATTCAGGGCCAGATGTCGTGGGTTAAACAAAGGATAACTTCCCTTTAACACAGATGGCTATATAGTTAAAAAAATGTGTAAAAACATTCAGTACTTTCAACCTACAAATCACATTATACCTTAAAAATAACAAAATGATCTTACGATAGAATTAAATCCACCTCCTTCTCCTGACTGATAACACTACTCTTTCCTGCTGGTTTTTATAGACAGCTCTAATGAAAACACTTAATTAAATTAATTACATAAATCAATGAATTCATTAAATAATTAATTTAGTTCATTGTGTTAAGGGTTTGATTATACTTAAAACACATAACAAGCACTAATATTTAATAGTATGTAACTGTTTATTATTTATTTTAAAAAATGGTATTTCTAAAAAAAACATTTCCATTTGTTTTGTAAGTTTGGTCTGAGTTCTTGTTCTTTTAATATTTTGAATTGTTTTTAGCTTTATTTTATTTTTTTCATTTAGTTTTGATTCATTTGATTCATTCATTTAAATGTTTACTTAAATGTGTATATATATAGTATTTATAGAGTTTTAGCTTTTAGTTTGAATTACTTTTTCTTATTTGTAAGTCGCTTTGGATAAAAGCGTCTGCTAAATGACTAAAAGTAAAAGTAAAGTTCTTGATGCTTTTACAACGTTTTCACCAGCCAGTGTCGCCAGCATGTGCTGTTTCAAGTGCTTCGAAACATCGAATCATTTTTCGAAGCAATTGGTTCAATGCTTCGAAAAGCTTCGTTTCTCCCATCACTAGCTTTACTCACTCTGGCCATAAGCTAGCACTGTCGCTGTAACTCAATGAACGAAGAGAATCGCCTGGTCAACGAGGAAAATCCATCAGCCAATCAGGAAGCAGGTTGCCTTTTAAAACTCAGCCGGGAAACGCGGAACCAAAACAAACGGCATTTTGCTTGTGTAGAAAAGGAAAGACTAAACACAGAGAAACGGTAAGCTTTAACTAAAAAAAAAAAAAGATTAAGTTTAAGTTAAACTGTATGTAGTGATTAAACTCACGTAATATTCCGCGGGTCACTTTTTTATTTAACGTAAAATTGGCAAACGGACTTGATCAAGCTGAACGAATTGCTTCGTTACAAATCATGAATGGCATTATTTGAACCAAACAAGTTGCATTTCATTGTCTTGCTTTTCACCCTGCCGATGCTGTGCAAAGATACAAAAATGGACACCATGATTTACCTGGATCAGGAGAACGGCAGACTGACCACTCCAGCCATCAAATCTCGCCAGAACAGACTGCACTCTGCTCCAGGTCAGTGCCAATATAGGCTTTGTCTCATAACCAAAAAGGGACTACTCACCAAGTCCCTAATTTACGTCTGTCACATTTTCAGATCAGTGCTTGAGAACACCTCTGGCAGCAGGAAAGGCACGTCCTGGAGCTCCTCTGCAATCGGGCCGAAAAGCTTTGGGAGTCATAAATAAGGTTGTTGCCACCCAAGCAGCATCTTATAAAGCAGAGGAGAAGACTAAACCTGCTGAAGCTAAGGTTTGTTCTTGATATGCAGAGAAAACCGTATGAAAGTTGTTTGTAAGTTGATTAAGTCTATTTTATTCCATCAGTGTAAGGTTCCTGCTCAGCCAGCTAGTGAGGAGTTGCCAGAGATCGAGAAGTGTTACCCATACAATCCAAGCGGTAAGACTGACCTGCTGTTTTATGGCTTTTAAGCTAAACTTTTGACTTCAGCTCTTGACAATTCTGTCCCATGATACATTTGTAGAGTTTGAGACCTGCGGTGTTCCAGATGAAGTCTACCTCAGTTGTTTCTCTCTGACTGGTCTGGGAAAACAGATGTGGCCGAATGCTTTACCTGTGGAAGAGCTTATTATGGACCCATGTTTGCCACTCTCACCTTTAAAGATGCCCAGAGGTAATGGATCTATTTAGAAATGTAGCTTAAAGTTGTCAGTGCAAAAAGTCTTTATGCCCAGTTAAACTTATTTAATAAGTCTTTCCTCTCATGCAGCGGTGGAATGCGTTGATGAAATGGAGGCATTCCTACAGACTATAAGTGAGCTGACTGTTGACTTGCCCCCGGAGTGTGAACTCTAAATTTTCATGTGGATTGTGAACTTTGTATTTTTAAAATTGTTTGCTTTTTAACTGTTATTAAACGTTTTATGAAATTTCTGTTCACTTTTGTTAATCTGACACTAAGACTAAGGGTTTTTTTTTTCTTTTCTCGAGGGGTCCATTCCTCACCAGTATTAAGATATCACTGAAGGTGTTGTACTTTAAACATTTAACTGACAATCTACTAATCCTCTTTCTGTAAATCCAGTATATAAAGAAATGTAAGGTTTTGTGGCCTGAAGTGACGCAAGTCTTGCAAAATCTAGTTTGCTAGTTGTCTTCATGGTCCGTTTAACTTTTTCCTGTCCATCCAGCGAGACTTTGGCTCAGAGGACTTTGCCACAACATGGGCTAATTAGTTCGCTTGTTGTCGCCTTTACTGTCCATTTAAATTTCTTTTTTTACATTTTTATTTTTTCCCCCCCCCACTTTCTTCCTGTCCATCTGGATAGATTTTGCGTCACTTCTGACCGTAGCTGTATCCCTTCTAGCCACAACCATGAAGTCTATAACAAAGGAACAAAAATAGTTTTGTTTTTTTCTTTATTAAAAGAATATTCCCATCTCCATGTCTAAAGACATTTAAAGTGCAAATGTTACTCACATTAAAAGGTGAAAAAACAAAAGGTTATAAACAGAAGTATCAGTAAGATACATTGAGGCTAGATTAAAAAGTAATGTTAAAATTATTTACAATCATTGTGTGTACACCGTTATTAGCACCACTTGGTTAAGAGCAGGAGTTACCCCAGAAGTACTGTGCAAGCAATGGAGTGTAAAAACACACTTTGTACAAATCAGTCACCAATCATGCCTCTCTTAACATACTATTTTAAAGTGGATTGTCTCGCATGCATTCCCATCTTTCTTTACAACCTACCCACAAATCTTTTGTGCACGTTCAAAGGACAAACTATTATTTCCTCATACCATCTCAATCCTTCAATATTTTGTGCCTGTAACATGGAACTTCACAAGACTTGAAGAGGACATCATCATTTGACTACAAAGTATTATAATAGAGTGGCTGCTTTGTCATTCTAACCCCATTATAAAGTTACAAAAGTGGCAGTCGTCATAGTCAATATATATGCATATACAGCAATCTGTGTTAGAGAAAGGTGGTTGAAAAGTCCTCATGTTAACCTTGACATTCCTGATCAGCAGTTTAAGTCCCCTTCTTAGATTCCCATTCCTGGTTAAAAATAAAGCATTAAGGTTTAAGTTACACACATACAGGCCATTCTGCAATATATAAGACTTAATAGCAGGACCCCAAACTAATCGATGAAACTCATTAGAAATAGATTGAATGTTTTAATGTGATCTCTATTGATGCAACAAACTGTTCCGTTTGCATTATCGGTCTTTTGATGCATTGCACTGGATAATGTTGTGAACACTGATGTGTTTACCTTGGCTTTCTGCATAACGTTTCCCTTCGTGGATGCATAGATGGAGGGGGGCCGCTTACGCATTTCAGAGGTGCAGTTGACAGGGAGAAATGACTCAATATACTGAGTCTCCATCCTTTGAGTCTGTAAGGTAAACAAGTACCATATTTAACAATTTCGATCAAACTGTTAATTCTAATATTTGCTTTTTAGGTCCAGTCAGTACCTTGTTTGTAGTTTTAGACTCTGTAGGTGCCCCCAGTTCTCCACCAGCCAAAGATTTCTTCAGGTTCTCCTTCACCTGCGTGAGCTTGAGCTCTAGGTCCACACGCTCTCCCTCTTTCACACGACAGCTGTCCTCTAACTGGGCTACGCGCTCCTCTAAAGCTAACTTCTGCTTATCTGCACAATATGTATATAGTTCAGTTTACATATGCATTTTTGGCAGATCCATTATGACCATATAAAAGCAAAGAAACGTCAACATCATTATTACTAAAATGTTAAACAAAATATGAAATATTACGATTACTGAAATAATATTACAATATACTATTTCAAATAATTATAATTATTATTACAACTAAAATTTTAAACACAGTAAGAAACATTACTATTGTATTAATGCTATTTCAATGTAAAATAAAAAATGTAGTATTCATGAAAAATAATATAATCATCATTTTACAGTACAACTATATTTATAGCCGTCTTCATTTCTTCAGGCAATATTGTGATTTAAAAGTGTTCTGTGTTATGATAATATGGCTGGTACCCTCTCAAGAGAAGAATTTATGAACACTATGTATCATCTAAACATGGATATAAAAGAGAAACGAGGACATACATATACGTGATTGAATTAAATGTTGCAATATGCTAAAAGAAACAAGCAATAAAAAGCTATTTTTGCTAGTAAAAGTGGGGGAAAGTGACTTGTTTAACTATTTTGAAAGCATCTCATTAAATAGGCAGGAAAGCTTGCTTTCTCACCCGGTGCACCCTTCATCTTCTCTTTGGCCTCTCGTTTCTTTTTCCTCAGTGAGACTAGGGCACTTCTGATACTATCTATTTCTTTTTCCAGGTCTTCTTTTTCTTTCAAGTATTGGCGTGCGTCCTCCTGTGCCCGCGTTTTCCCATACCTCCCGTACTGATTTGCGTCTGAAATGTCAAGTAAAGGTCAAAGATCAGACCCTAGAAGTCTGTGGGAAGGTGGCAATGCTTTTAGCACTTATCTGGTGAGAGAATGAGTGTGAAAATGCAGAAAGCTGTAGATCAAACCAAAATGTCTTGTTAAGCTCAGGTTAAATCATTCTGACTGCTTCTGATATGACAAGAACTCTGCAGCCATTTTCAAAAGGGCCAAAATAGGGTTGAGCAGTCAGCAGGCTGCTAATAAAAACTTAAAACCATCATACTCTACGTTAAAGACAATGCTGAATCTAACAGCTGTGTTTGTTATAAGCACAACTAGCACAGTGCAGAGTGTGATGGGACTCACTGGAGCCGTGGCGTTTTAGAGTGATTTGTGGACTGGGCTTTCCTGTGTCACTGCTGGAGAAAGAAGAACGACGTTTTGTTTGTGCTCCTCCCATCAACCTCTGATTTTCCTGCTGAAGAGAAAAGGTGTACCATATTTAAACTGCTGTACTGTACGCTGCTTCATACCGTTCCAATGCCATTTGTATCCCTCATACTCAAATGATTAACATAGTATATTAATATAGTTGATGCCAATTGTGTTTTTATAAACACATCAACAAATATCCACAAATGTATTTATTTATTTATTCATTTATTTTTTAAATAAAAAAATAAAGTGAAATATAATGTAGAATTTTGTCTATTTACTACATTGGTTCTCTAAAAGGGAGCCAAGACCCATTGGGGGGCCTCAGCAAACTTCCAAGAAGGCTGAAGATGACTTAAAATGATTCAAAATATGTATTAATACAATGAACATTAATATTATAAAAAAAAATTAAAAATCACTCAATGACTATTGTTTCTGTTTTTTCACCAAAAAAAGATGCAGCTTTGTCAATTATAAACAAGCAGTTTTGTAATAATTATAGCAGTGTTGGGGGGAGGGGGGCTTTCAGTCTAAAAGGTTATATATAATATATTATTATTATGATATATTTACTATATATTTTCACATTTTAGTTAACAGTTTGTTATTTAAAAATACTTTATATTGTTATTAAAAAGACAAATTTTTTCTCCAATTTATTGTTTTGGCTGGAGATGGCACAATGCAATAAATATGAAAATTTAAACTGATTGACCCTTATGTTACATAAACAACTGAGGGGGAAAAAAAACAGTTTAAAAATCAAACAGTTTTTAAAAAAAATTTTTTATTGTGTAGCCTGATCACATGATTTGAGGCACGCACAGATGGAGAACTGAAGCTTCTGTGTGAGTGTCTGAGGGTTCAGCACAGGTTTAACAAGCCATTCAGAGGCCAGAGGCCATGACGACTGAACCTGCTCTAACCCCCGATTACTGCATACAGAGTCATCACACACTTCTCATCTTTCATTAAAGTCCAGTCACGCCACATGCACACAGAGGCACAAGGATATCTGACCTCTTCTAAAACAAGTTTATGTTTGAATGAGGTTAACAGAATTGCCATGGTCAAAGAGAAGACTTTTCTCTATTTAAAAAAAAAAGGTTAAATAAATTAGATAATGATTTCACTATGATGCATGTACATAAATGTTGTGTATTTCTTTCTATATGCTTTGAATGTAAGTCTGTGCACATAAAATGAAGTGCTTTTTTTGTGAAGAGTTTTCTTTTGGAGGGAGGGTTGTGAAGCATATGGCTTGTAAAAAGTGTTCTCTTAGAAAAAGGCTGGAAACCACTGTGTTAGAGTGGAAGCACATGACCAAATGTTTGTTCATCTGCGACCACAAACCTCTATGGCTTCGAAAGGGACCTCATCATACGTTCTTGAATCTGTGGAGGTTGCCCATCTAAATAAAAGGCACAAGGATATCTGACCTCTTCTAAAACAAGTTTATGTTTGAATGAGGTTAACAGAATTGCCATGGTCAAAGAGAAGACTTTTCTCTATTTAAAAAAAAAAGGTTAAATAAATTAGATAATGATTTCACTATGATGCATGTACATAAATGTTGTGTATTTCTTTCTATATGCTTTGAATGTAAGTCTGTGCACATAAAATGAAGTGCTTTTTTTGTGAAGAGTTTTCTTTTGGAGGGAGGGTTGTGAAGCATATGGCTTGTAAAAAGTGTTCTCTTAGAAAAAGGCTGGAAACCACTGTGTTAGAGTGGAAGCACATGACCAAATGTTTGTTCATCTGCGACCACAAACCTCTATGGCTTCGAAAGGGACCTCATCATACGTTCTTGAATCTGTGGAGGTTGCCCATCTAAATAAACAGGAAAAGAAACAAGAACAGTTAAGGTAGTGAAAATCAACAAGATGACCCAATCTAAAACTCCAGCCCTCATCTCCTTCACTCTCAACTCACAGGAAAGAGTGACGGGCAGCTGTACGGATGTTGGCAATAGTTTCCACATCTACATAGTCATAATGTAGGGACTCGGGGGCAGCAGAGGAACCGGGTTCTGCACAAGG